TGTAAATGAAATTATTAAAGTGACTCAGATCCTTCAGTGTTGACTTTGAATGTGAACTTACAGCAAAAGCCATTCTCCTAGAAACAGCACTCAGCTTCAGATATGTTCAGGACAATTTAACATTTGTTTCAGAACATATTTATTGGTGGACCCCAATGAGCGAGAAGAACGAGTGATGGATGGCTTGCTGGTGATTGCCATGAATAAGCATCGAGAAATTTGTACTATTCAGTCTAGTGGAGGGATAATGCTGCTCAAAGACCAGGTGAGTGCTCTGACAAGCTTCCCTGTGAGGTCTCTTTCCAGATGTTTTATTGTTATTTTTTTTGTTGTTTAAAATTATCTTTTAACCAAAAGCCACAAAGGTACTTTAGATGACTAAGTCTAGTTAGAATCGGGTTTCAGTGTAGTCATTACACTCTGACAGGTGGCCATGAGGTATATCCTTTCTTTGCCCCCACCCCATATCTGTCCTTCTAGGACAAGGGTTCTCAGCTTCCCAATGCTGCAACCCTTTAACGCAGTTCCTCATGTTGTGGTGACCCCAACCATAACATTATTTCATTGATACTCTAAATTTGCTGCTGTTATAGATTGTAATAAATAGATTTAATATGTAGGATATCTGTTATGTGGCCCCTTTGAAAGGGTCATTTGACCCCCAAAGGGGTTGTAACTCACAGGTTGAGAACTACTGTTCTGCAACCTGACAATGAACCTGTGAAGAAAGATTCGTATTGCTATTTTTTTAAGCATTAAATGTAGAAATTAAGAGAAAAATAAGTTTCACTTTTGGAATTTGGATACACTTGTCAGTGATGCGCACGGAGGCTGCCGCCTCTGTTGTAAGCATCAAGTGGTAGAGAGTGGTTTTAGTTCAGATTGAAGCTGAGCTGTGTAGTCTTTGGGTGGATTTCTCATCTCTAGATCTCAGTGCCTTCATCTGTACGTTGGAGAATGATTTTAGTGCTGGCACTGTAGAAGGGATTGGAGGATAAATAAAGGCAGATTATAGGCGTCTGGGATACAAAGTGCTCAGTGAACATTATCTCCATTATTTTCACCAGCACCATTGGTACTAGTGTTGCAACCACGATTAATTCCTTTTTCTGTGGATTACTGACATAGAAAGGAAGTTTGCATTTCTGAGCACATTTTATCTGGTGTCTCTAGTATTTTCATATTTTGTCTTAATTATATTTACTGTGCCTTGATTTCATATTTGGAAAAGAAGTGCTTAAATTGTAATGGTAGAAAATTCATGTCATGGTTTTGGGATCATTAGAAAAAGCTGTTTGTTGTCTGTGTAACAGCCCACATTTACACACAGGTTCTGAGATGCAGTAAAATAGCTGGTGTGAAAGTGGCAGAGATTACAGAGCTGATACAGAGAGCTTTGGAAAACGACCAGAAGGCCAGGTGAGTTGAAGGTTTTAAAACTATGGGCTCTTTAAAGCCATGTTTTCTAGGAGCTTTCTTACACAAGGGTGGCCGTATGGTTTCATATTTGAGCTTTAGTTAATCTCAGTTGGGTATGCTAGTATTTAGTTGACTAAAAAGTCACAGAAGTGTTTTCTTTAAACATTAACATGCTCTTATGAAAGAAGAGTGCAATACCTTACATTAATAGAAAGAGCCAACATGCTGGTTCACAGCTCTACTTCTTGTTACCTTAAGCAACAAGGGGCCGGCACGTCATTGTCCTGTGTGCCTTCTGCTACAGCTGACTTGAGGGCTAGAAAATGTACTTCCAGTAGCCACTACGCGTGTAGCAGAGCTTCAGAAAAGAATTGTGGTGACGCTGATAACTATGGTAGTGTTCTAGTGTGATTCATGTTGCCGTGATAAACTGACCAGAAGCAACTTAGGGGAGGAAAGGACTTACTTGGCTTACACTGCCAGATCAGTCTGTCAGTGAGGAGTCTGGAGCAGGGACTCCTTGCTAGTCCATGTAGCGTTACCTCTAATGAGGGAGCTCACTCGGCCAATGACGTAAGCAGACACTGGAGGAATGCTGAGTGCTGGCTCACACTTAACTACATTTCTTATACAGCCCAGGACCACCTGCCCAGGGAATGGTGCCCTCTGAGCCCTCTTTCATAATTAACAATCAAGATACTCCTCCACAGCTATGCCAGTCTGGTCTGATAGGACCTCCCTTCTCAAGTGACTCTAGGCTGTGTTAAGTTCACAGTTAAAGCTTAGATCTAGTGAAGTTTTTTTCTTTTTCCTTTTTCGGTTTTTCAAGACAGGTTTTCTTTGTGTAGCCTTGATCTTCCTGGACTCACTTTGTAGACTAGGCTGGCCTGGAACTCACAGTGATCCGCCTGCCTTGGCCTCCCTAAGCACTGGGATTAAAGACGTGTACCACCACGACCTAAGTCTATTTCTTATCTACCAAAGACAAAATAGTAAAATTTTTTCTCTCTTGTCTTTTCTTACTGGTTATCTCCAAAACAATCACTACCAAAACCTACCAGGAAAGAAGGTGGAAAGTTTGGCTTTGCAGAGTCTATAGCAAATCAAAGGATCACAGCATTTAAAATGGAGAAGGCCCCCGTCGATACATCCAACATAGAAGAAAAAGCAGATGAAATTATTGCAGAAGCCGAACCTCCTACAGAAGTGTATCTTTATTGGATGGTTTTTACAGTAACAAGATGAATAGCATTTTTTTTTTATTAAGGATATGTACGTATTGAAATTTGTTTTGGAGGAAATTTTACTATAAGAGAAAAATATGACATTAAGTTGATAATGTAACATCTAGCTTCAGTTGGTTATCTCTAAAAACCATACATTTTCCTACTTTAAGAACCAACTTAGAGCTGGGGGATGTAGCTTATTGGTACCTGCAGTTTTCTAGCTATGTGGAAGGCCCTGGGTTCTAACATTTCCATTCTAAGAAAATGCAAACAAAATTCCAGCATTCATTTCCCTTAAAGAAACTGTACTTCAATATTAATGACGTCACTAAGTTTCTTTATGCAATAATACATAATATTGAAGTGATTCATTACCAGATTTCTGTAAAGGTGGTTATTGATGATGTCCAGTTATGACACTCAGCAGTCCATAATGAAGTTTTATTTACACATGGAAGCAGTCTTACAAGAGAACTTGACCAAAAGGTCAGCTTTAGTAGTTATTAAATAGCAGGGTTAAGTTTTCTTAACTTGTGAAGTGTTTCCAAACCTGTGCTGTGGACTCCTGGAACTGCCCAGATTGGTGATGGAATAGAAAACTCCTGGGGTGACCTTGAAGAGTCCGAGAAGGAAGAGGAGGAGAAAGGTAGCATTGATGAAGCTGTCATTCTTGATGATACAAAGATGGACACCGAAGAAGTTTCTGATATTGGGAACCAAGGTAGGTGATGATTTTAGCTTTGAATGTGTATTACAGAGACAGCTACAATTGAGATATCTAAAAACTTGTACGTATGTGAAGAGGTGTCTGTATAGCAATTGTAGATCATACATACATAGGGATGTTTCCTACTTTGGAAAGCTAAATATTTTTGGATTTAAATTAAATTTTAATTGATGGAGGCTAACAGAAATATTAATACCAGGTCTAAAAGAATGTTTATTTTTGTGAAGTGGTGGTATGCTTTGGCACGTAAATGATAGTGATACTCTCAAACAATTTTCTCAAGAGCTCTTTCCTAAAAACTCATGTGGGCCAGAGAGGTGGTTCAGCTGTGGAGACAATGCTCAATCATGGTAACCAAAGTTTGGATCCCAGTGCCCCCACTGGTTTGTTCACAGTCCTCTGCAATTCCTGCAATTCCAGCTCCAAGGGAACAGACACTCTTCTAGTCTCTGGGAACCAGCACACATATGTACTTACACAGATGCACACATAAGTTTAGAGCAAACTATGACACAGTACTGCTCAGTAGAATTTTCTGTGGTAAGAAATGTTATTTATGTGCCAGGGTAACAGCTACTGCTGTTTATCTATCTATTATTTGAAACGTGGCTTGTCTTAAGACTGAATTTTAAGTAAATATGGTCACATTCATTTTAGGGTACAGAATTGAACATGGAAGCTTTAAAGGCTCCCAGAAAGGTCTTAACTGTTGTGTTCTAAAAGCTTTAGGAAGATTATTAACATTTTACATTTATTTAGTGTATATGTGCACATGTATGCCAGAGCATGCATATGGAGGTCAGAGGGACTTGCTGGAGTCCCAGGAGGCTGTGAGCAGCCCAAATGTGGGGGTCAGGAAATGCACCATGGTTCTTTTGAATATGTACTACATGAGTGCCCTTGAAGGCAAGAATCAGGCATCATACCTGGAGCTGCAGGTGATTGTGAGTTGCCCTGTGTGGGTGCTGGGACCTGAACACAAGATTCTTTACTAGAGCAATATGTGCTCTGGCAGAGAACAGGGGCTTTCTCTGGCATGAACTCAGTGCCAGGCCACAGAGGAAGACAATGCAACCAGTCCTGATAGGCTGGGGTCAAATAGAAGAGGAGGCGGTCCTCCCCTATCAGTGGACTAGGGGAGGGGTATAGGGGAGAAGAAGGAAGGAAGGGGCCAGTAGGGATACAAATTGAAATGAGAATAATTAAAAACCATGTACAGTCTATCTGCCTTCGTAGAAGGGAATTGTTGTTTCCCTTCTGTTGATAGTTAATGTGTTTTGACATGGGAACAATATTGGTTTATGGGTAAATGGGTGCATTTTTTTCATATAGTATCCAGTTGGTTTAATCATAAGTAATGAAAGTGGGCCTAAGAGGACTAGGATGGAGATGGTAATTATTTATGCACTATCTGACTGCATATGTGCCAGTAGGCCAGAAGAGGGCACCAGATCTCATGATGGATAGCTATGAACCACCATGTGGTTCCTGGGAATTGAACTCAGGACCTTTGGAAGAACAGCCAGTGTTCTCAACCTCTGAGCTATCTCTCCAGCCCCAGTAGAGCCTTTCTAAATCATGTGAACAAAGAACTTTGAGGTAAAAATACACAACCAGCCAAATTGGCATGGGGTTAATTTGCACACTTTATTTACACACACACACACATATATATATAATTAACGTTGAAGACAAAAATGGGCAAACAAAGCAGTTTTCTACATTTTTTTCATGGTCAGCCCTGGTAGTAATAACTAGATCATCCTGGTCTACAGAGTCCTCTGGAAAAAAATGAAAGAAAAAGCTTACAGAAAACACTGCCTCCAGGCAGCATAGCTTAAGCAGTCTTAGCTTGGAAATGAGAGCATTATAGTTTTTTGGTATTTTCTTAAAGGTGCCCCTATAGTGCTATCAGATAGTGAAGAAGAAGAAATGATCATTTTGGAACCAGAGAAGAACCCAAAGAAAATAAGGTAATAGATTTCTGTTTCTTTTAAATATACATTAAAAACAGAACCTATAAAATGGGGTACATTTCAGAGTTCCAGTGATCCAGTCCAGGATTCAGTTGGGTACAGTAAGCTGTTCTATTACTTATTTCACAGAGCTCAGACCACCAGTGCAAAAGAAAAGGCACCAATTAAAAGTCAAGTGAAGAGGAGGAAAAAGAAGAGAACTGCTAACTAAATGGCATTTTGTATGTATGTATATATATATATATAAAACTTAACAAAAGGGTATTTATTCAATGCTATTTTATTTGAAAATCCATTATAAAAGCCGAACTTTTTGATAAATTGTTCTGTCTTTAACATTATGCTTTGAATAAATTTTCTGGGCAGCTTTTCTGTTACACAAAAGCGTCCCAGCCCATTTGTAAGAGTTGATAAATAAAATACTTCCATAAACTACTGCAACATATGCTTAATGAGCAAGGGGATCTCTGCTATACTGTAAATAGATTTAGTCTAGTTTTATTATTTTAGGACCAAGTCAGCAGTTTGGGTCAGTTGCTTAAAATGTTAGAAAGCCTTCACTACCCCACCAAGTTAACTTTTTAAGTGACATTATCATTCTTACTTTTATCTCAAATTAACTTTGACTTGCAAAGATTTCCAAATCAATTTATTCTTATTATCCTGACACTTGGCAGCACCAATGTTAACAAACCAATTAAAATTAGCCAAATATCTAAGATAGATACATGTACAAAAAATATACAAATTAAAACCATTTAAAAAGCAATGGATACCATAATTTGTTGTGGCTATACCATCTACATTGAGAAATGATTGTGAAATTAAAATCCAAAATAAAAACTGTACAGCGTGAACTGTGAGGACTCCCATTTTAAACAAAGGCAGTCTTTTCACTCTTACACATTTAGTGTCTCTGGCGGGTTGAGAAGAGAAACACCATGATATCTGTTAAGTAGAGATTAAAAAAAAAAAAAATTTTTTAGTGAACACAGAACAATTTATGTACCCCAAGACTGGAACAATGCTATTTCTATTTGATTAGACTGACGAATTTAAAATCATTTGACACTGAGAACATGTATATACAACCTATTTCCTTACCCAGGAATAATCAGAAAAATCAGGTACAGCAGCTTCCCAACACATGACTGCTATTTACTGAGGCAGCTGTGGTAGATTCCCAGACTCTTTAATAAAGAAAGAATAAAGAATGTGATTCTTACTTTGAATGTTTGTACTTTTCCCTTATTGACTGTTGGGCATGCTGTGGTGCTTTGAGGTAGGTCTGGTGAAGGTCCATGAGACAAGGCTTAAGACTTTCCAGGGTATATCCAGTCTTTTGTACCAATGACTCAGGCTACAAGAAGAGACAAGGAGAGTCTTAATAACAGCACAAGCACTGACCAATGAGCTCACAAGTTGATTTAATGTTGGCACTAAAATCTTTAACATGTTTTAGCTCCATCTTTTATTTTGACTGCTTGACTCCTTCCCCTGCTAGCAGCAGGTGAATGACCCAGATTCTTGAAGCAGAGCTTTCAAATGCAAGTTTATGGCTCAGCTTTCTGCCCAAACCAAACCAGCACTGATACTGTGAAGGCATACGTACCCAGCTTTGTCCTGTGACTGTATAGAGCGCTAAATGAAAGGCAGCGCCAGCAATAAGTGATGGCAAATACTTGAGGTATGGGTCAGCATCTATCAAACTCAATTCTCCCAAAAACTGGAATGAAAAACAAACAAAGCCTTTCTAAGACTCAAATTTAAACTCCCTGCCTCCTGATTACTCACTGGTTCTGTATCAGCCCTGGTAAAATTATTCCAATATTTTTGCTCCATTCTCATCTTAGATTTCTCCGCCCTCATAACTTAAAACACTAGTAGGTGCTCTGTAAACCACTAGTTAATGCTTCTCTGACATGGTCATCCCTGAGTATCCACAGGGAAACTCTTCTCTGGAGAGAGAACTCTGACCCTCCCATGGACACCAGATACTTAAGTCCCTCACGTATATAAGGTATGCCATTTTCATACAAACTAGTGCTACATACCTAGACTGTCACTACATTACTTGTAGTTCCTAATAAATAGACACTACATATATGGCTGCCGTTTGTTTATCAAGTACATAGGCAATTACTTTTAATGCCCATTGGTTGATTCCATAAGCACAGAACCCACAGATACAGAGGGCCAACAGTATATTACCTATCTTTTGCTAGTTGTAGGTTTTCTGTGTATTAAACATTTAACTGTCCAAAAATACTTAATCTCTTAAGCAGTGTTGTCCAATGAAAGAAACCAGGGCTTGCCCCTAATTACAACCTTAAAAAAAAATCCCATAAAATGAGCTTACCATTGCTAAGCTTTCAACTTTGCAGTTTGCAGGCTGCTGGTGCAGAAAGTATTGTGTAAGAAACTGATTTACTGTTGGCGCAGCTAAGTCAAAAGCAAGGACTTTCAATACTAGGTGCTCCATTCTCAGAACCTGCTTCTTGGAATAGGTATCGTCTGTAATATACACAAACTCTGCTACTTCTGGGGGGTATATTTCTTCAAACTTTCTATAACAAAAGAAGTTGTAAGTTGTGAGTTTTTTCAAAATGTTTTGTCTTAACCTAAACTTAGACTGTACAGACTCAAGACTCACTTTCATCAACCACATTTTCATCAACAGTTGAGATGAGCGAGTTATAAGGCCCAAATCAGTGAGGGGCTTCTGATTTGCCTCCTACATACAGCCAAAGGAAAGAACTGATGATGTATATAAGCTTTCCAAAATGGGAACAATAGAGCAGCTGAAAATTTAGATAACCTAAAGTCTCAAGAAAATAAATGTTTTACTTTTAAATGTCATTTTTATGTCCTGATGGAAGAAAGACAGTACTTTATTGCAGAAGAACCACACTTTTTGTGATCTAGTCTGCTGAAATGTGGCTGGCCTATGTTCATTCAAGGCACATGAAATACAGACTAGAAAGCTTTATGTTCTAGATTAGAAAACGAGTTTCACCCTCTACTCTCAGAAGCAACCCCACAGTCCTTCCTAAAGGTGTCAGTGTTAAAATGTTAGAGTTGGAAATCACAATTATTCCCTTCACTATAATATATAGTATGTGGGTGTTGGAGAGATGACAATGGTAAGATAACTGGCTGGGACCCAGCTTAAATTCCTAGCACCACATGGTGGCTCTTAAAACTTTTAACACCAAACTCAGGGGACTGATGCCCTCTTCTGGCCTCAGCCGGCAAAACACCCAATAAAATATAAATGGGGACCAGGGTACTAAGTGATGACTTTAGCTGGACTTACGAAGCTAGCAGCATAGCAGCAGTGCCCACAAGCTGAAGCTTTCCTCTTAACACAGACATGGAGGAGAGGAACCGATCAATGTAGTTCACAGCCAAATGCAAGGTCTCATTCTGCAGTTTATATTCTTCTCCCACTTCAACTAGCCAGTCCACGAGGATGGCCCGCATACTGTTAGTGATGTCTGGCTGTTTCTTCATATAACCCACTTTAGGTTTACATTTAACCTGAGGAAAACTCAGTAGTGTTAAAACTATAACTGAATTACTTTACCATTCACACAGATGCTATTAATAAAGAGTATAAGAGTGACTCACTAGTAATTAGCAGGCATCAACAAACATTATCCTCTCAATTTCATTTAGCCATTTTTAATGAACAGAGCCTTACCTCCATTTCCCTAAGGTACGTGTGAATATCTTCATGATAGTCAGGTACTTCATTAACACTCACTGGCTTTTCGTCTTCTATGACAATAGACATATCCATAGCATGTGGTGATTCTGTGTATGATATTAAAGCCAAAGTATTTATCTCTTCCAACTCAAAAGATCCTAATGACAAAGCAACAAACAATATTTTATTCTGGTTTTAGTATTTCTGAAGTACCACATTCAGCTTGTGGGCACTTTTAGGATAATCTTTATTCTAAGAAATATATATACGTGTATAGCAATAGACTAAAAGGACTGATAATTACCTTCAAATACCTTCCACACGAGAGTAGTAGGTGCTACAGTGGTTCTTATTAGGACAGAGTACTTAACATCAAAGTTTCAAAATAATCTTTTGTCTTAAGAGATATTGGAGAGCCCACAGGCTGAAAACCAGGGAGTAACTAGAATCAGGTAAATGGCATGTATTAACAAATGTTAGTAAAGATACCGAGTTTGTTACACCATGTTCAAACAGACTAATTGTGATCGGTAAGTGACTTGATGTTTGGTCTCATTCTATAGGCCAGGCTGGCCTGAAGTTCATTCTGTAGCCTAGGCTGGCAGTCCTGCCTCAGCCTCCTGAGTGCTATTATGGGCATGAACATGCTCAGCTCTAGTTTTTACCATTCAAACTATCTTTTGAGATAAAGAAACCCTGAGATTAAAACAAAATTAAATTTTGTGCAATAAGTTACTTCCATATCCTCCTTTCCGCGCCTGTAGAACTAAAGGGGTGGGGAGATGGCTTAGTGCAGTGTCTGCTGCACAGGCATGAAGATATGGGTTGTATTCTCAGTACCACGCACAAGCTACCTGTGGTGGCTGGCATATCTGTTTCCCTAAGACTAGGGAAGGGAATGAGGTTGAGCACAAGTAGACTGCTGGAACTTGATGGCCACTGAGCCAATTCAACGAGCTCCAGTGAGCGGCCTTTTATCAAGAAATGGAAAAGTGGTTGAAGATATCCCACAGTCAAGTACACGTCTGGTCTCCACATGTACCAGCACATAGCATAAGAAGAGTGACAGATGCCAACATCTGTGGTCTTCACACAGAACATAGCAACAGCAGAGATGTCTACAGTAGCTACTCTACTTTCTATGGGGGTCAGTGTCTGACCTGCAATCTGATGAGCAGTCAAATTGATTTAAAGGACTGGTGGATAAAATGCTCAAGTAGCACTCGGGAGTCATTCACAGAACAGAAATCTGTTCTTCAAACCGAGCATCTTATAGTCAGATTAAGATACACATTTAAGACCAAATTAAAACTGATATAATTTTGCAGTGCCCTGCCTGCCTGTTAAGGATTTGAGTCCTTTTGTAGGTCAGGGGTTCTAAGTGTTAGTCATGAGATCTGATAAACTTTCTACCTTTTCTAACACTCCAACTCAGTGTTAGGATCAGGTAAGATAGACTTAAAACCCAATCAAGTAACTAATTTCTTAGTTTTCTAACTGTCCCAGTGTTATAGGCCTGTAATTGAGAATTTGGGAGGCTGAGGCAGGATGATGTGAGTTCAAGTTTAGCCTGAGCTTGAGATCCTGTCTTAAAAATAAAAAGCAAACGCTGAGTTGTTGTGGCATACCCCAGCACCACACACCAGGCAGAGGCAAGCAGATCTGAGTTAAGAGGTCAGCCTGGTCTATAGTGTGAGTTCCAGGACAACCAATATACACTGAGAAACCCTGTTTAGGGGGGAAAAAAAAACCAAAAACCAACAAACATGGTAAAAATAAAAGCAAAAACCTTACCAAAACTACCATCCATTGGATAATCAAGAGGTACCAGTGGTTTTCTTGCTCCAGGTAACAAGACAGCTGCATTAAAAGCCAGGACATCTTCACACTGTGTTCCTTTATGCTCAGCTGGCGGCTTCTCAATCTCTTCTGCTTCATCCACATGAATGGTGAAGGCAGGCTGTTTACTGTTTGCTTTCCACGAAGAAACAGCAGTGACATGCTCATCGTTTATAGGAAGGTCCTTAAGAGGCGCAACCTAAAGAGGAATTTTTTAATAGAATTTTGCCTTCTTTATTCTATGGGAAAAATAAAGTTTATGAGGCAAAGCTGAAACAAGTAAGTTTGAGGAATCCAAGATAAAGAGTAAACCGATTTGTCACAGCCATTTCTACAAAGGCTATAAGTGAAACTTGGGAATTACAAACCAATCAAGACTTAAGTTTAGGGGAAAGAATTGATTGACAACTTTAGTCCCAGGGTGGAGCAAAAAAAAGCAAGTCTGGCTAAAATGGCGGAATTTACCAAGCAGAATACTACTTTATCCCCTTCCCCGAAGTTATCTGTGAAGCAGATGGTGAGGGGGAAGGGATCTGGATCCTATGGCAATGCCTGGCTTTAAAAGTGGAGGGAAAGGCACACAGCTGGCCGAAGTCGACACGCGGGTGGCATCGCTTGGTACGAACCCGGGCATTTTAGGAAGCCGCCGCCACTAGTGCTGAAGGGCAGCAGACTCGGGCGGGCAGGGCTGGTGGAGGTATTTGGTGCTAGAAACCCCGGGACCGCGCAGGCTGCAGCCCCACTCGACTAGAAAGCGCAGCATGCTCTCCGGCCCCCTCGGCTGCTATCCCCAGGCCCGCTCCCGCCCGGCCCTCGCACCGACCCTCGCGCCCTTTTACCCGCCGAGTCTTGAGTCTCTGCTGCGGCGCGGTGCCCCGCGCGTTCCCGGCCTTGAGCACTGCCTGCGCCCGCGGCTGCTGGGCTGGCGCCACCTTGTCGGGTTTGACATTCTCCTGGTCTTCCTGCGGCAGCGAGAGCAGGGCCGAGCCCGCCTCGCGACCCGACTGTCTCGAGCTGCCCGGCATCGCGGCTGCGGTCGGGATCCGGCGGCGGCAGAGCTTGCACTGCGCCCGCAGCTCCCGGGCTGCGCGGGACCCTGGCGGCCGACGCGCGAAGCAGGCGCTGCGGGCGGGAGGAGCGCCGAGCCCAGGTGCCGCGAGCAGCGCGCCGGCCGCCGGCTGTTCGCGCAGTTCAAGTAGCCCGCGACTATTGAAATGGACCAATGAGGGCGCCGGGGGCCCGCGACGTCACCAGGCGCGCCGGGCGCCGCGAGCGGAGGCCCGACGGGAACCTGGCCGGGCGGGTGCCGGAGGACGCGCCTGCGCAGGGCGGGCGGGCGGCAGCCCCCGGCCACTTTCCGCCGCTCCGAGGGTGTGTAACCCCCCCGGCGCCCAGGATCCCGCCGGGCTAGCTGGGCGGACCCGACAGGCCCTCGAGGCCTCGACCTGTCAGCGTTCCGGTCCGCTAAGGGGACTGACGACCTCCCCAGCCGCGGGGTGGCGCTTGGGAGGGAAGGGCGGACCGACTCGGCTCACCAGCTGATCACTTCCGAGGCAGCCGAGCCGAGCCGAGCACTCCGCCCTCTCTCGGTGATGCTGCCGGGGCCACACAGGGAACTCTGGTGGGGGTGGTTAGTTTTGCGTGACCTCTGCAGTACACCTTTTTCGTTGTTTGTTTTTGAGGCAGGGTCTCATAAATCCGGATTGTCCTACACCTCACCGACATCCGCCTGCCTCACAAGACTGCTGGAATTGAAGGCTGTGTCACTGTGTCTGACATTCCGGCAATCTTTTTCCCCCTCTAACAAAGATGTGATCAATTTAAAATGCCAGCTTGAGCTATTGATGAAAACACGTAACGAAGTGGTGTATTACAAGAAATTCAAATGTCCATTAATTTTGCTTACCCTTGGTCGTGACATTCAAATAGTACAATACGAAGTCCCACTGACCAAATAGATATTACATTTAGAAATGAAGTGCATGGTGGTGCTTGCCTTTAATCCCAGAGTTCCCCACCTCCAAGTTCAAGGCCACCTAGAATCACATAGCTAATCACATAGCCTGTTATGTATTGAGATGCTGTCTCAAAAAAAAGGAAAAAAAAAAGTGCTCATCAGAAAAATAGCCCGGCGGTGGTGGCCATGCCTTTAATCCCAGCAATTCGGGAGACAGAGGCAGGTGGATCTCTGTGAATTTGAGGCCACCCTTGTCAATAGAGCTAGTTCCAGGACAGCAAAGGCTACACAGAGAAATCCTTTGGTGAAAAACAAAACAAAACAAAAAACAGGAAAGCAAAGAAAGCAGAGAGAGAGAAGGAAAAACGGCCTGGTTGTCTCAAGACAACCTACAGAAAATATCAGACAAAAAATAACCTTATTAAAATAAAGACCCAAGTATATGTGCCTTAAATGTTTACATTTTATATTTAAGAACTGTATATAAAATGTAACAAAATGTAATTATTTTCTGAAAAATTCATAACTACCTTTTGACAACAGAAGACAGCTTATTTTCTATTATCTTTAGAGCATTTTAAAACTTTCAATACAATATTCCCCTGAAATGAATGACTAAAACTTCTGTTGCTTGAAAGTCGTCCTTACCCAGCATATATAGTAAAAATGGGTTTCCTGGGTACTACAGTACAGGAAAATCTTAGACACCATCACTCTTCTGGTTACATGTAGGGCATCTGTCTGGGGTTCCTCTGCTCCAAGCAGGCACTGCTTACTCCTCTGGCCATAGTCTATAGCACTTAGCCAAGTATTTCATAGATTGCAGGAGGATCATGTCACGAACTAAGAGAGAAACTGGGTGCCAATCCATTCCAAATCCTAATAAATAAATAAACAAACAAACAAACAAATAAATAAATAAATTGGTAGGGTACAGATATCAGCCCTAGCCTCATAAAATACCAACATGGTGTCTTGATAATACCAGCTTCACTTAAGTGGTTGATGAGCTTACAGAACAGTGGGGGATCAAGTAATGTAAATATAAAAGTTAAGTTTATTATGGAGCATGAAGTCGGCACACTTTCATGTATCTTATAAAAACTTGAATATATTTTATTTTCCAGTTCTCAACTTAGAAATTAAAATACCACTTGCCAAAAGTCATTACCAGCTCCTACAGTCATTCTACTTATGTTGGTTTGTTTGGACTTTTGCTGTAGCCCAGGCTGGCTTGGACTTTAGTATGTGGGATGGAATGTCCTTGCTCTCATAGTAATCCTCCCCCCTCAGTCTCCTGTGTGCCAAGAATTCAGGCATTAGCCATCACACCTAGCTCTACTTGTGTTTTAAAAATAAAATTGTCTGCATTGCTGAACAATTCCAGTAAGTCAGAACACCACTTACAGTTATTGTACCAAAGATATTTTATATATTTACCACAGATATTTTATATATTAAGAGTGTGGCTCTCCTTCACCCTTTTTCTTGTTGTTATTGTTAAACAGGCTGCAACTGTTAGCTTAGCCCCTACCTTGTTTATCTTTCATGCTGCATCAAAGAAAGAAATCAATGTGTTCTGGTCGTAGCTGTCAAGAATCTCCAGTAGAACAGGAACTTTGGTTTTTACGTTAGTGCCTTTGAACTTAAATTTATCTATGAAAAGATCAGTAATCATACCTATAACGAAAAATGATATTTCCTGTCATTGATTAGTTCTTTGAACAATGCAGTTAGTAATCTACCACCACCTGAAATTCCATCATTCAACATATATAAGCCTAGAAAAGGCTTGCTTTAAAAAATGAATGTGGGGACTGGAGAGACGGCTCAGCAGCTAAGAGCACTGGCTGGTCTTCCAGAGGACCAGGGTTCAGTTCCCAGCACCCATACAGCAACTCACGATCGCTCCAGAGGATCCGACCCCCTCACACATGCTGGTAAAACACCAATGTACATTAAACAAACAAACAAATAAATAAATAAATAAATAGATGTGTACGTAGGGAGGGCCTGAAGCAACTTTCAAGACAGAAATACTTAAGCTTCCTAACCACCGTTGCCAACTGCTGATTCTGCCACGGCACCGCCGGCCATTTTGACTTGCTGTGGGGTCACACTGCATCAGTGATTGCTTCTGCAGGGAGCTTCAACTGAACTAAAACCTTCCACCTATGGGTTTACTGGGTGCACAGGTCTGGGGAAAATTAGTTCACCTTTGAGTTTTCCACATGTGAAACAGGGACAATTTAAGTTGTCAATCAACTGTACAAGACCCTTGAGAAAAGTGTATTTTAGCAATTAAAAAAAAAAAAAAAAGGAAGGAAAATACCATGGGTATTTTTACAATGGGACTGAGTGGCAATATCGGATAACAAAATGGCAATACTTTTACAATAAAATGTACAGGTAAATATTTGCACTAAGTGGAATTAAAAAAAAAAAAAAGATTAGAAGTAGGGTGTGGCGGTGCACACAGTGGCAGGCGAGGCAGATCTCTATGAGTTCCAGACCAGCCTGGTCTACAAAGTGAGTCCAGGACAGCCAAGGCTACACAGAGAAACCCTGTCTCCGGGGGAAAAAAAAAAAAAACAAAAACAAACACACCTAGCCAGGCAGGGTAGCACCACACCTTTAATCCCAGCACTCAGGGAGGTGGAAGCAGGTGGACCGATGTGAGTTCGAGGCCAGCCCTCTACAAAGTGAATCCAGGACAGCCAAGGCTACACAGAGAAACCCTGTCTCCAGAAATATAATAACCTCATGTCAATTTAAATCAGGTTTCATTATTAAGTCAATTAGATTAAGACAGATTGTGATGGTAAATGATTTACAAAAGTAAAACTTTGGTTTTCAAAGCCGCTTTCTGGATTTTGGGATCACAGATAAGGGGCGGTGGATCTGCAGCACCCTCACTTAAGGAGATTGTGAGAGATCCTGTGCTCGCCATGTGCTGAGCACTAAGACACTTGTTTTGTTCACTTGTGACAAAGCCTTAGGTGTATGAGAAACTCTTTAGGCAGGTCCGTGGAGCAGTACGGACTGGGCATACCAAGTAATGATGGCACAGGGCAGACGGCATACAGTTGAGGGACACAAGATCCTAACAATGTTTGCCACTGACAAGGTATGTGAGGGCAAACTTTAAAGAGCTGTTGCAACAGTGGGCTATCTCAGGGAAGACGGTGTAGTGTGCTATACACAACAGATCTTACAGAGACTGCTAAAAAACCTTTTTCCCAATCTCTTCCTTTCTCCCTCCCTCCATCTCTACCCTCACTTCCCTTGATCTTTTCTTTCTTTCAGTACAATCTGTAACATACCCAACTTCTTACCACCAAAGTAAAACAAGTTTTAAACTGCAACCTTAGATATCACATAAATATCCCAATTAATTTTGCCTAAATAGATTAAATGCTGAATTTAATTTTTACAACGGCAACAGGACCTGAAAATCACCTGAGAAATTCAGTGTGGACTTCTAACTTGTGTGTGTCTATATACATTCGTTCACAGTATAATCCCATTTTCACACTTGCATTTTTTAAAAGATTTTTATATATTTACTTTGAATGTTCTATCTGTGTGTACACCTGCACGCCAGAAGACAGCAGTAGAAGGTAAAGATGGTTGTGAGCCACCATGTGGTTGCTGGGAACCGAACTCAGAACCTCTGGAAGAACAGTCAGAGCTCTTAACCACTGAGCCATCTCTCCAGCCCACTTACTTGCATTTTTAAAGTAAAACAAAACAAAACCTTAAGAGGTAAGGCTTTCTTGGCAAAATACAGAAATATTTTATACAGTAAGATGATTGTCACGGGCTCATGACTGGTGTGATCTCTGCCAAGCTTTGGCAAAAAAAAAGAGAGAGAGAGAGAGAAAGGACATCCAAACCAAACAACAATGACAACAACAACAACCACTAAAAAGAAGCACAGTATGTTATTCTACTCAGCCCCACTCACCGTAGAGTCTTTCCAGATGTGCAGGCTGCTTTTTGTATTCCTCTTGTAGGTGGTCTGCCTCTTCCAGAATACAGCGATATTCTGGAATCAGAAAGTTTGTATTTCCCTCATGGACCTGCAATTCCTTATTAAAAAAAAAAAAAAAAGAAGAAGAAGAAGAAGAAGAAGCAGCACCTTAACAGTCAACTTTTAATCTAGTATTATAAAGTATAACTTTAGCAACACCAGCGCTAACAGTAATGCTCATGACCCATTGATGCGCAGCCTCACCTTTAGGGCATCAATTAACTGCACTTTCTTAGCCAGAAGCAACTGATACTCCAGCTTCGGGTGGATTAGCTTTAAAGTGTGCTTGACTGACACTTCGTTTATCTCTAGAAGAAGTTGGTCAGGCACAGTTAGTTAAGGTGCTTTCATGAAAAACATTGCTTTTATAACTGTAGAAAATTGAAATGAATGAATGTTTTTCCTTTTCTTACCGTATGATATGTTGAGATTAATTTTTCTTTTTGTAGCTTCTTTAGAAAGCACATCTTTTAGGATAGATATTGTAGAAATGTTGTCCGATTTAAAAACTCCTTCTCCTTTTCTATAAAATCAATATAGTTTTAAAGAAAAATTGTAGGAATGAGTGGCCCCATAAATACGTAATTTTAGCTAGTGTTTAGTTTTCATTTGATTTTCCATGATCTGCGTGTATCATGAAGGCAAAGCAATGTATTCTGTGCTATTACAGATACACCTCTTAAGATAAGAATTTTTAAGTACTTCATTTACAACCTTTTCCTTTGTGGACATTAATATTGCCAATATCTAACCTCACATATAAAATGTACTTAGAATTGCTTATTTATACACACATGCACACTTAAGTATGTTTTTGTTTAATGTAGTCACATGAATGCTGAATGCTGAATGAAGTTACTGTATGCTTTATTCTTAAAATAGATCTGGTATCCAAACTGAGAAACATTCGTCATTTTTCAGGAATAGCATCTATTGCCACTACTTCTAGTCTCAGGACCCTTAGATTTCTTTAGGAATCCCTACTTCCCATGCTAGGAAAAATGAAGCACACTTGTAATCTCAGGAATTAGAACATCCCACCAAGAACAAGGCTATATTAATAAGGTTTAAGCTATATTTCAGATATTTGGGACACAATGCAAATTTCAAATCTATGAATCAAGAGAATTAATTATTTTTCAAAGACATAGAAAACAGTCTCTATAAACTCATAGCAGAAAACCTCCCTAAGTGAGACAAAGAAATGGCTACACAGATACAAAGGCAGTTAGAATGCCCAACAGACAAGGCCAGAAAGAACTTCTCCTTGTCATATCAGTTAAGCCACTAAATATTCAGAACAAAGAAAATTCACTGAAAGAGGCAAGAGACAAAGGCAGACTGATCGATAACTGAAGATTTCTCAAGGGAAACTTTAAAAAGCTAGAAAACTTAGAATTTTCCAGTTTTGAAAAAGAGTAAGTGCTAACCCAGACTATTATTTCCGGCAAAGCTATCAGTCAAAATTGAATGGGCAAGAATTTTTCCCATAATAAAAACAAGTCATGATCATTAAGTCAACTCACAGAAGATCCTTGAAGGATTTCTCCAAATGAAGAGAAAGATAAATACATACATACATGCGCCACAGGGAAGAAGAAACTACTTCTGAGTAATGATAGTTAAGGAGAAGAGGAAAACACCAAAAATACTACAAAATCAACAAAAGGACAGGGCAGGCAATAATACACACTTTTCAGTTATAAATCTAAATTTCTCTCAACTTCCCACTCACCAGTCACAGACTAGCAGAGGGGACTTAAGTTCAGGAACTGTCTACTGATTGTCTTTAAAGCCCACAAGCCACCATCAAAGGCAGAGGCCACCGTAGGGTTAAAGGAAGGTAAAACTTATCCTGAGCAAATGAGGCAATTGGCAAGCCGATGTCACAGTTCTGAAATCTGGCAAAATAGACTTTAAACCAAAACTAGTCAGAACACATCCGAAAACTAACTTCATATTGATTGAAGGAAGAATCCGTCAAGAGGACAACATACATGAGCTGAATGAACATGTGTGTACTCTATCTCAGCACACAAATCCTAATAGAAGGACAGTCACAGGTGGCCCCAACAGGAAAACCGGAGACTGCAATACCCCATTCCATTGACAGATCGTCAGGGCAGAAAAACAGACGCATCTTAAATGCCATTATAGATTTAATGACATAAATAGACATCTTAGAACATTCTCTCAAAAAACTTTACATGATTATATTTATAATTCGGACATTACTACAGATTTTATATAGACATATTATTGAAAAATGTTAATCTTTGCATACTCATTTTTCTAACAACACTTTTACACTCATTAAGTCTATTTGTTTAATAGCTTCTGTTGAACAATATAGATTTTCAGTTATAGTATTTTTAAATTATTTCTGTCTTCAAACAAGTTAAAACTTAGGTGTTGTATCTACATTTTGTTAATAAGTAATTAATTTGATTTACCTGTAGACACACTCGAGCTGTGTATCCAGAAAGGTGTTCTGAAAGTAAAATGTTGTGCATTCTCCTGCTGGAGGCTTTTCAGGAACTTCAGGCAGGCAGAACACCACCCAGGAGTGGACTTCAGCGAAGCTGAACTGGCCTATTAGAGTCAGCATGTTCATGGGTCTGCAATCAAGAGGCCAGCATTGGGTGTGCGTCCACAAAAATACTGCACACGCAGAGTAAGCAGAATCTCAAACACAGCTGAACACTTTATTTTATTAATTTTTAAGCTTTTATGCAGGGATTCTCTACAGAGAAAGCCCAGAAAGCCACTATATGCGCGCACATGCACTCGCATACACACACACACACACACACACACACATCAGGCTACCTCAAATGCATGTCAATCTTTTTACCTGAGTCTCCCAAGTGCTAGAATTACAGGCACGAGCTATCACTCTCAACTTTAAATAAATACTTATTTAAAAGTTTTATGAAATTAACCTCACAATCCAACAAATGACCATTTTAGTTTTATAAACAGAAACTTGGATGCTTGTCTATCCCTACACTTGCTTGTGCTATGTGTCGTATAGTTGGGTGATGTACATAGCTTCTCTGTTCATTGGAACATGTTTTGTAGATTAAATTGAGGATATTCAGCTAGATTTGCTTATTTGAAAACTCATCTGGCATCTGTATTACACAGACTATAAAATACACATGAGTCACCTCAACTGTAAAGCCTAGCACTGGGCTTAAGGGCGGGCAGGCAGTTTGAGTCCTTATTTTACTCTTTACTAGCTGTGGCCCAGTGACAAGTTAGGAAACAGTACCTTCTTCCTTTCATGGATTTAGTGAACAACTCCTATAAATTATTATAATAAGTCATACCTGGGGGCCACACCTGTAATTCCAGCTATTTGGAAGGCTACAACAGGAGGATTGTAAGTTTAAGACTAGCCCAGGCAACATACTAAGACCCTGTCTCAATACAAAAGATACAAAAAAGGCTCAGGAAACAGCTCAATAATAAAAAGATTGTCTGCCATACAGCAGGCCGTAGGTTTTAAACAAAACAGAAAAAAAATGGCCAAAAATGAATTCTCTTTAATGTTTCCCATAAATTTTCCTAAGAAAAATATCCTAAGAGAATTTCCCCTTATATCTTATTCCAATCATACAACCTTTTAACGTGCAAGCTGCATGAGGAAGACACAGGCTTTGGCATCTAAGCATAGCATGGGTACTTAGATCACAAAGTGGGTTACTTTTCCAGGCCTCTACTTCCCATTTGCAAAACAGAGACTAGGCCATCTAGATCCTGTCACAAAACAAGGAGGAGCTGATGGGGCCCCAACCCTCCCTGAGGATACACAAAAGGCTAACGTTTGATGAGTAAGGTGCCCGTGCCCTGTAGACAGCCCTCATGAACTTAACTGGGTCCCACACAGAGACATGAGAGTTGAAGGGGGACAGGAGGTGGAGCAACTGGCAAGAGGAGGAGAATTAACAGGCAAAGGAGAATAGGATTAAAACGCATTATGAATATGTATAAGAATTTCATAATAAACCCATTATGTAAAAATAGTATATGCTAATAAAATACTTTTAAAATAATAGAAAATATATAAAAGAACCCCACAAAACACTTGTCACAAAGTATTATATTACTGTTTGTCTCTTTTCTTTTCTTTTTTTTTTTTTACTTAATCCCACATTATATTGTCCCCCAAAATGATCTGCATTAAGGTGCTTACATTAGAAGTATCAGGAGCTATCATAGTTGACTGCCTACAACTATTACTTGAGGTACTGCAGAAGGGAATCTGACCTTGAGGGCAAGGCAATGCAGGGTCATCATAGTAAACCACTGTGCATCTAAATGTTAACCACTATTTGCTCACAGGTACTTAAGGAAACTTCCTATTCAGGTGACCTCACAATGGCAACAGACGACAAGAAAGTCTAATTCAACACAGCTTCCAAAATAAGACAAACTATCTTGTATTTATTAGAAATATTAAAGTCAGATCTAATTATTAACCATTTAAGTTAAGTTATTTTTTAACTTTTAAATATATATTAGGTATACAATGTAATACTATTCAGCTCTCAAGAAAAATGGAATTGTGAAATTTTGGGGTAAATTGATGGAGCCACAAACCAATCATCCTGGGTGAGGTACCCAGAACCAGAAAGACAAATATTATATGTTTTCTCTCATATGTGGATATTTGCTTTTATGCTTTTGATGTGTGTTTCTTTTAGAATACTCACAGAGGTTAGGTGGTTAGTAAGAAACCAGCGAGGGGGAGGGGAATTTCAAAGGAAGGGGAAATAAATACAGTGTTTTATAGGGATAAGGGGGGTCAGAACAGAAGGACAACATGGGGCGGGGGAGGGTGGGTGGACAGGAAACATGGAGAGGAATAACACTAAAGGCCTTTTAAAAAAGCCATATGGAACCTCCTACTGTAGAAGCTTCCTAACACACAACCACACACACACACACACACACACACCATACATGAGTTTAAATGGGGAAGTAATACTCTAATTGGACATAATAAAGCTACCAAATGAAATCTCCACTACCAGGAATGGCTTTCATCCTTTTGAGGTGTTGGCTTAATGGGATCCTATAGATCACACCCAAACATAACCAAGTATTGCCAATGCTTTTGGTTATCTTCCACAACTTGATGGTGAGATCCCATTGTTAAAGATATTACATGTTTATGTCACAAACAAGAAGAATTATAGCTGGCACTCAACTGGCAGCTTGGCCCCTAGTGGTTAGCACTTATAGTGCTGGAAGGTGTTAGATGCTCCTGGTAGAGAAAAGAAATAATCAGTCTCATCCAGCCACAAGCCCCATGTGAGCTATAATCATTACCTGCCTGCAACATACACCCTTTGGTGCAATAGTGGCACAGATATTATGGGAGTAGACAAGCACCTTTTTAAAAAAGGAATTATGGCCCACTCCATGAGGTGTAACCCATATCTGATACTATCAATGACGTTAGAACCTTGGTTAGAATGGTTCATGGGCCCTAGAGGAACCTGCTGTAATTATTCTGCTAAAGAAACATAGCAACAAAACATATTTATTCCCACAGACCAGTGCATTGCTCGCTCAGCCTTCATCAGAGAAGCTTCTTCTTGCAGTAGACGGTAACTAACACAAAAAACCCATTATTGGTTACTGTGAAGAGAAGAGACTTTGGAATGCTCAGTCCTAAACAGGATATCCATGTCACACGCATCTCCTTAAAGCTCGGGAATCTTTGTGGAGGAAGGAGCAGAAAGACTGAGAGCCAAAGGCGGTGATGGAGAACTTCAAGGAAGCAGCTTTTCCACGCACAACAGGATGCACATAGGCACACACAAAGATTGTGTCAGAATGCAGAAGATCTGTACAAGCTCAAGCCAGGCAAAACCCTGGCACAGAGGAGCGGAAGTAGGATGAAGTCCCACCCCCTAGGCAAGAAGCTCCTTAAAAATGATAGCTGCCGTGACAGAGAAAAATCAGTTTTCAGTGGAGTGACCTGGGCAGATCAGCCACACCAGGGTATGCCCATGCTAAGCCGAAGCCTGCCAAGACAAACTGCACTCCGTGTTCATTTGGCTTTTTGTTGTTTTCCTAAGAGAAAGTGAGTATGTAAAGTTGGGTGGATAGGGAGGTGGGGGAGGAGGAAAATGACCAAAATAGATTGTGTAAAATTCTCAAAGAATAACTAAGACATCATCTAAGGAGGAAAAACGAAAACAATAAATTTTGTAAAAAGTCTTCCCATAAATAAGTTAATAACAGCAGGCACCAGTTGGTGAGACTGCTCAGCAGGTGGAAGCACTTTCTGCCAACCCTGCCAGCCTGAGTTTAAGACTCACCCAATAGAGAGAGTACCAACTGCCTAAAGCTGTCACCAGAGCTCCACACTTGTGCCATGGCACCTGCGTACCCACATACAGCATGTAGACACACACATAGAGTTAATAACATGTGATAAAGGATAAAAATAAAGCAGGCTTGTCTCAATGACATAATCTCCTAAGAACACACCATTCTGTCCCATGCCCTACCTGTCGTGGTCGATGAAGTGAGTTCTTTGGTGGAGAGACAGAGGTTTGATGTGGTACTGGCGGACCTGACAAGTTTTTGGTTGAATTCTTGGAGTCACATATGCCTGAAGTGTGCCATACTGGCCTTCAATTGAGCGAATCTCATAACATAGAAGAAAAAAGTAAAAGTCAGCAGAATAAATATATTTTCAAATGCTTACTTAGGTATCAAATACTTATTTCCGGTCTTTAGTAGAATATCCTGAAGGGTACAAAACATCTATCAAATACTTTTCTATTATGAGAAAATAGGAAAAATTTAAATAATTTTGGCAGTCTTTAACAAAATTAATCATCCTCCAAGTTATTGCCATCATATATTTTCAGTCGATTTGTCCCATATTCATCATTCATTCTAAGACAAGATATTCATCCTGAAATAGTGCCCCATGTATCCAAAAGATGAGTGCATGATACACACACACACACACACACACACACACACACACACACACACACACA